TTCATTTCATTATTTAAATTCAAGTAGACACGATAAGCCACGACATGTGTACATATTGATGTACGTGATATATTATTTAATTTTTAATCAATTGTCTTTGCATGTTTCAGACAAATTCACAGATGATTTATATCATTGGGTATCGTTGGGAAATTATACAGATCATTACAGATTTTTTGACACGCAGCCCTCTCAAGTATTACCGCACATGGCCACTGGCCAGCCACATCTTATTGGCTGATATTATACTTGCATTCGGGGCCGGGTTAAGGCATTTTTCGCCCCGGGGTATAGGTATGTTTAAACCTCCTTAAGATTCAAAACTTTTTTTTTTTTTTTTATAAACATGAAATTGTTTTACTATAATTTTTTATTTATTAATTTTATTCTCGAACATTCTTTACAAAATATGCGTCTTTAAAATCTTGTGCCCCGAGGCAGATGCCCCCTGCCCTCCTATAATCCGGCTCTGCTTGCATTTCGAATACACTCGACAAGTGATAACGGCGATGATAACACGAAAAGACAGACCAATGAGAAGTGGATACTCATACTCGACCAAAACATGACATACTGTGACGATACCAATCTGTTTTTACACGATCTATTATATTTTATCTGCATTTCTGGATTTGTATTCTAGCTGAACGCCTTTAATTTGTTTACTAAAGTTAGAAATGTCTTCTTCTTATAGATATATATATTATTCAAGTGGAAAACGAATAGTAAAAACATTTAAAAAAAATAATTTATAGTAAAAAAAAAAAAAAAAAATGTTAAAAATGTAATTCTTACATTATAATATTTATTAAACTCGTAATTTTATAACGTAATAAAATAATAAATCTAAATATTATAGTGATAATTAAATATGAGATGTAGCTTTATAAAGAGAAAAGTACACTTTTCGTCGTCACCGAAATATTAATGAACGTTTGTTGAATTTTAAGTCAGGTTACACGCCATAGTTTATAAACGCTCGCGCTTTGTTGTATAACTTGATCTAGTCGCGTAATATATCATTCTTTGTGTTTTGGACAAGGAAGTTATTTATGTTCAACCGTAAATTTCATATTATGTTCCGTGTGTTCCTCGTTAAACAATTCACCTCGTCTATCAATGATTCATATGACTCGTGTGACTCTTATGACGCATTAATCCGACGGAACACCGGTCAAGGAACGCCGTTTTCGGTGTTTTTGTGAAATTTCGTATCAACTTTATTTTATTTTACGTACCGAAACATAATTTCGGGGGGTTTTTTTTTTTTATCCGCCCAGTACATTTGGTTTTTCAAAGGTTTTTAATAAAAAAAAAAAAAAAAAAAACTCGTTTTGTTTCGGAAATATTTTCAAACTGAACCATATACATATAACAAGTTTCATGTAATTTTAAATATTGTTCTGTATGTAATTCGTTATACATATACATTTTTTAATTTTAATTATTTATATTGAAATCGAATAATAAAGACGTTTTCATTGAGTTTTTATCATTGTTCGTTGTAACGTTATTAATTTCGGAGCAAGTAAATAATTAATATTACTGATAAGTAAAATAATATTATTGTAACAATAGCTGTCTCGTTTTGCCATAAGAATTTAAAATTATACGAATAATATTATTATTGTGCATTGATGAAAAAAAAAAAAAAAAAAAAAATGACACTTTTCTCCCATTAAATTCATTATTACATCATATGACAGCAGCATTTCGCTATCGATAATATATTTTAAATTTTACAACAGTCATCAATCATTGCATTTGTTTAGTGGGATTCTGGGCGGAATTAGGTTTAAATAAATTCAAAAACATTCCTTTCTAATATATAGACAGAAACCTAACCTAAATCTCCAATACCGTAAATTTTACCTAGTTCTTCGGTAGTTTATGAATTTTCGATCCAAACGCCTAACGGTGAACGGAGAAGGTTATTATTTTTTTTGATTTTCCGAAAATTCGCCATAATCATTAGGAAAAACCGGAAAATCTATAAAAGAAACACTCACAAATGAATAAAACCGATAGTAAGCGATTTCAAATCAATTCGACATTTTCATACTTTTGCCGTGGTCGGATTATACACAATTTTTAATAATGAATGTGAGAAATAGAGCGAATTTGGAGGAAAATGGCAAATATATTAAACAAATAAACCGTTAACAAGTTCCGAAAAAACTTATGTGAGTAGTACGGCATTCGTAATTTTCGCCGTAAGTTACTGATAAAATTACATTTCCCTCGCGATCCATTTTTTTTTCATTTCTCACTTTATGTTTTTCAGGTATAAAATGGTTTCACAAAAGACTAAATATTTTTCAGTTCAACGCCTAAGTTATTTTGACACTGAACTATGTTTTTTTTTTTTATTTTATAGACATCATTGATATCGGTTGCATAATTGAATAGCTCAATCAAGTGAGATCGAAAACTACCTGAAGATAATCCCCCTGCACACGGCCGGCGTTCTACGACCGTGGCGCTCTCACTCGTATCGGCCCTGTCGCGTTTTCGCCAAAAGGATTTAAACCGATTGGTTAGTAGTTTGAACATTCGAACGCAACCTCGGGACAAAGTTCAGATTGACGCGCTTTCCGAAAGCACTAGAGAAAAAGTGAACCGAAAACGCCCACCCGAGAGGCCGCGAAATGAATACAAAGGAGATTAACGACGGTCACACCCCGGGACCGCGGTTCCGCAAAACGGATCGTGAAAATTGATAACGTCGAATTCGCGGCGGCGGCCGAGAACTGCGGCCCGTACATGACCGGTCGCGCACTTGTCAAATGTTATTACGTCGGGAAACGCTCGTAATTTTTTTCTTCGGAAAACTCGTTGCGGGTTTTCGAGTGCGCGGTTAAAACAATATTATCGTGTCGCCGGTCGTCGTGTCCGCGCGTTTTCTTTTGCCGCGCGCAAATGTTAGCTTAGGCGCGTGCAAATCGAATAAAGGCGCGCCGTCGCGAGGATCGTTCGTCAAGACGACGAGAAACGGTAACGGCTGGCGTTGACGGCGGGAGTATTTCCGGCGACGAGTGGTACACCGTTCCGGTGGCATTTCACCAGAAACGAAACAACGGCCGCCGCGGGTTTACGCGCCTCGTTCGCGCCGGAGTACCCGACCCGCGCGATGTTTGTTATTTTTTTTTATTCAACAGCTACTTCAAAATATTATGTCGATCGGTTAATGGTTTTTCGCGGCGTTTTGTTGACACGTTGATACTGTCACACACTACTGTCCACTGTCGGTGCGGTACGGTTTCCGGGCGGTTTTCCATTTTTTTCTCGCGCGAGCCGCGTACGGGCAACACGTATGCGGGAGGCGAAGCGTTCAGGAGACCTCGGCCTCCCCGAACCGCCGCGACCCTCGGGCTCCACTGCACGCGGGTACTTTGTTCGCGCGTCGATCGATTCGCCGTTAATTGACATGTTGGCCGCAAAACCCGTCGGGCTCGAGCCACGCGCGTTTTCCAACTACGTCCGCGAACAACAATACGGCTGGCCCAATAACGCAATAACGGTACCCGCAACGTTACGCTATTTCGACGACGCGCGCGCGCGTTTCAATGCAGACTTCCGGTGTGTTGCGAGGCGACAGCGTCGCCGTCCCCGGTAGCGGTTCGGTTTTCCGGGCGAACTTGTCAGAGCGCCGGACGTTAACCGTTCGCGGCACCCGGCGCCTGCCGACGGCGTTAAAGGGAAATATAATTATCGCGGTCGTCCGTCTCGGGAACAACGGCGCGCGTCGCTAACCGATTCCGCTACGCCGTTGTAAAGGCCGATATGCCCGAAGCCCGTTTCACACGGCACACACGGTCGCGCCGCGCTGTCTCCGGCGCGGTAGCCGGCGCAGTGATTTTTTAGGCCCGCGCGAACGCCGGTCAAAGCGAATTGTCCGTGTACGAGCGTCGATGGTTAGAACGTATTTTCCACGCCGTAGTTACCGGTAGTACGGCGGCGGTATTGGAAACCGATCGGCGGAACGTTACAACGTCAGCACGACCGCGCGTCGTTAAACGGGTAAACGCCGAACGGGGTTGTACGCGAAATCGATACGGACGTTTCGGTTGCCGACAGTTTTTCTGTTGCGTTTACACGGCCGACTGTGCGAAACGTCGACGTGGCGGTTTTTCGTTTCGTTGACTTCCGGGTTACTTTGGCCGCGCGACCAATGCGTATGCTGTCAGAATCACTCGGCTTAGAATCGGCATCTGATCGCGATTTCTCGGCGTTTGTGCGCACAACACAAATCGAATTGTCACCGTCTACCCGGCCGAAACCCGCGAACTCCCCGCATTTCCGCTTACGGCTCAGCGGCACGCACCGCGACGCGCGCCCGATCGGTTTCGCACATACGTTTTTAATCGAAAACCCCTCCGGGCGGATCGGGCTCCCGGCGCGTTTTCGGAAACCGCCGTGGAACTACGGACGGCGATATCGCGTCGGTCCGATATCGCGTTCAAAACGTTTTCGAATTGATCGCGAGAGTTCGCGCGTTTCGCGAATTCTCGACGGCCGTAATTCAACGGTAATGACGGCCGCGGAGCGCGTTTCAGATTAGTGGGCACGCCCGCAACACCGCGGTCCGTTATTAATATTTACGGCGTTATTAATAGGTTTACGTATGGATTATAAACATTACAACAACCCGCGCGTCGTATTCCCGCTCGCGGACGTTATTATTTTCGAGGGGGCCGAAACGCCCGTCCGCGGGGCTCGGCGGCTCGGATCCGCTGTAAACTTAATGCGCGACGCCGCGACGGGAAACGACACTGCCGTGAGCGGCGGAACGTTCGGACCGGGCGGGCGGACGTGCGAGGGCGCACCCAAAAGAAACCGAACTGACGTCGTGTGGGACGGAGTTTTAGTAGTACCGATTTTTTTCCCGGCAGGGACGTATAAATACACTACTGCCAACGGCCGTCATCGTGGAAGGTCGCGTTACGTTGGTGTGATATTTTTTTTTTAAAAAGTTATTTTTCGTACTCGTCGTTTTTGTAATGGCTGATTTGCGTGAACAGCGCGCGGCCGTCCAGTTTTGCTTCCTGCTCGGGAAAACGGGCACGGAAACCCTCGAGATGCTGAAAACAGCTTACGAAGGTGATGCTTTAGGGAAAACTGAAGTATTTGAGTGGTTTTCCCGTTTCGAAAGTGGTGAAATGTCGATAGACGACCAAGCTCGCTCTGGACGTCCTTCGGCGGCGCGAACCGACGAAAATGTAGAAAAAATGCACAAAATTATCCTGGAAGATCGACGGCGAACCATCGAAGAAGTAGGGGAGAGATCCGGCGTGACATGGAGTTCAATACAGAGAATTTTAAGTGAAGATTTGGGGATGAGACGGGTGGCTGCGAAATTTGTTCCTCGACTGAGCTAACTGAGCAGCAAAAACAAGGCCGCGTGGAATCATGCTCTTCTTCGAAAGAAGAATTCAAAAATGACCCGAACTTCTTTTCCGAGGTCATTACAGGTGACGAACCATGGTGCTATGGATACGATCCTAAAACCAAGCAACAATCGAGCCAATGGAAGACTCCAGCATCGCCTCGCCCTAAAAAAGCTCGTCAAGTGAGGTCAAACATTAAGACAATGGTCATTTGTTTTTTTGATGNCAAATTTTGCTTCCTGCTCGGGAAAACAGGCACAGAAACCCTTGAGATGTTGAAAACAGCTTACAAAGGTGATGCTTTAGGGAAAACTAAAGTATTTGAGTGGTTTTCCCGTTTCAAAAGTGGTGAAATATTGATAGACGACCAAGCTCGCTCTGGACGTCCTTCGACGGCACGAACCAAAAAAAATATAGAAAAAATTCACAAAATTATCATGGAAGATCGACGGCAAACCATCGAAGAAGTAGTGGAGAGATCTGGTGTGACATGGAGTTCAGTACAGAGAATTTTAAGTGAAGATATGGGTATGAAACGGGTGGCTGCAAAATTTGTTCCTCGACTGCTAACTGAGCAGCAAAAACAAAACCGCGTAGAATCATGCTCTTCTTTGAAAGAAGAATTCCAAAATGACCCAAACTTCTTTTCCAAAGTCATTAAAGGTGACTATCGTGGTGCTATAGATATGATCCTAAAACCAAGCAACAATCGAGCCAATGGAAGACTCCAGCATCGCCTCGCCCTAAAAAAGCTCGTCAAGTGAGGTCAAACATTAAGACAATGGTCATTTGTTTTTTTGATGTGAGAAGAGTCGTCCATTCGGTGTTTGTTCCACCTGGTCAGACGGTTAACCGGGCATTTTACCTAGAGGTGTTGAAAAAATTACGCAACAGTTTGAGGCGAAAAAGACCCGATTTGTGGCAGTTAGGAGACTGGTTTTTTCATCACGACAATGCTCCTGGTCACACAGCCCAATCTGTACGGCGGTTTTTTACCAAAAATGATATGGCCACTGTGTCCCATCCACCCTATTCACCCGACCTGTCTCCCTGCGACTTCTTTTTATTCCCCAGAATGAAAAGGAACATGAAAGGAAAGCGTTTCGCGGACATTGATGAAGTAAAAAAAAAAAACGACGGAGGCGTTGGCAGACATCACAAAAGATGAGTTTAAAATAGTGCTTGAAAAATTTGAACAAAAGATTGGACAAGTGCATTAACTCCAACGGAGAGTACTTCGAAAGAGATTAAATGTTTTTTGAAAAAAAATTAAACAAATGACTTTGTACGAAAATAGTTCGGTTTTTTTTTGGGGGGTACGCCCCCGTACACCGTGGCCCACGGCCGCGACCCCGGGGACGCGCGGCGTGTTCCCGTCCGGTTTCCAAACGCCGGCGCGTCCCGCCGATTCGGCTGTCCCGCGGGCGACGATCCCGCGCCGTTCGGACCGTCCGGTACGGTGAAAATCGAGATGAACCGTACCGGGAGGGTGTGCACGAAATCTCTCCTGGCGAATCGTTACTTATGGTATCCCGTAAACGCTCGCGTAGTGCGCGATCGCGTGTGTATCCGACACAATGGACATTCGCGAAACGTCAAAACAAACGGCATTTCAGATTCTGAGTGGCGCGAACACTGGTTTTACAACGGGGGGGTTTTTTTTTCAACGCGAACACTTTTTCAAGTTTCACTTTTTGTCAAGTATTGGCGGCTGTTCCGGACGAAAACGTTCTCCGAACAGTACTCGAAGACCGACGTTAAAATGTGCGGTGACCGTTGTTATCCAGGGAATAACCGCGTCACTAAATAACATCGGTTTTCGCGCGGATTAGTCGAATTTAAAACGGCTGTTACTTAGGAACTATTATATGACTGTGTGACGCGTTGATATTTATCGGAAAAACAAATTCTACAGGACGACATTCAAATATAAATATTTGTATTGCTCAGCATCCCCGTGAGTAATATAAAAAAAAAAAAAAAAAAAACAACAACAACGGAATCTGATTATTTTTATTATCTCCGGAGATGTTCAATGGTACATCTTCGCGGGATAGCCCGCACGTCGTTGACATTACCAACACTATCAACTGAACTCCGCTCAGAATCGTGATTTCGCCAATAACGGTTTATCGTCGCTTACAGATGTACATTAAATTCCCGTCTGTATCCTACCTTCCCAACTTCCCACCTACAACAGTGGCTGCACCCACGAGCGAAGTATGTCCGTCTTTTTTTAAAATATTTCAATTTAATAACGCCTTAAAGACAGTTCTTCCGCAGAGACGTGTTTGTCCCAAATGACCACCTAGTTCTTCACATACCCGTTACCGTTTTTGTATGTTAATAACATTCTTTGTAGAAAACAATACGAAATTATTTAAAATACGAAACGGGTAACGTCGCAGTAATGTTTTATGCTCAATCGTGTTGCAGCCGATCGAATAGACATCGCGTTCGTCCGCCGACGTTTTCCCGACGCCACGAAGACTTAACGGTTAGTGATCATATTGATGAGACTTCTATATTTAACAACACATTTGCGTGCGGGATGAAACGTATCCAGCGACCGGGTTTTATATCGTGTGCGCAGTGGTTGTATACTTGTTGGGCATATAGAGTCTCGATCGAAAACGTGAATTAATAAGTGCGCGAAAACAGAGTGCATATTCACGCGAATGAAAAATGTATACTTTGATTTACTCGGTACACATCAATGAATTTATTATTCGCGTTCGCGTGTTTAAACGGTGTTCACGTGAATTCGCGGTGAAAATCCGCGAATTGTATGAATAATAATCGAGGAGAGGGATATACGTCCAGTGGTAAGAGTGTACAGTATGTATCTAGTCAATTTTCGGTTTTCAATCGCGATCCCGTTGGTACCCGCGTTACGAGTTCGCCCTCCCTGCTTCCGTTAGACGATCTTCAGATCCGCCGCCGGGAAAACACGACAGTAGAGTGAATTCCCGTTGAAACGTCCGCGAAAGGGGGCGACATGATAGTAAAACTGAGCTCGAATCGAGTGAGAAACCAAGGCACGCCCGAGTCACCCGGACTCCGCACAGATGCGAAGCCGTAAAGTGGCTATAAATATGTCATCGTTTATTTGTTTGCGTGCGCGAAATGTCCGTTAATTATTGTTTTGACGTTTTTCGCGTATTGGAATACGCGTACGCGTGAATAACTACACGCGTACACGCGGTTTTTAGAGGTCCGAATGTTAATTTCACGCGAATACGTATAAAAGCGTTTAAACGCGGCAACAGCGAACGCCGGGATAGACACGGGCAAACTCGCGACGGTACCCGCAAAGGAGACGTAACAATTTTTTTTTTGTTTTTTTTTTACAAAAAAATGATATACCAACGTATCATGTAAATGGTATTTATGACGCGGGGTACAATAAAACGGGGGGCGGTGGTCGGCAATTTTCGAGAGCGTACATGATATCCGCGATGCGCCGCGCTTGTAAAATATAATGCAATAAAGCCGCGGCCGGACGTGAAAATCCCCGCAGAACATGAACACGGTTTAACGAAAAAAAAAAAAAAACGCCGTAAATCAACCGCCGTCCCCGTCCTTCTGGTCGCGCGCGCGCATAATAAAATATTAAATACGCGCCTGCATAGAATGTTACGCTCGCGCGATAACGTACGACCGGAGAATCGCGTTTCGCAAGATGCGGTCGGAAACACCGATAACGCGTGATGAGAAATGAATTGTGCGTAAATTTTCGTAAACTGTCTGTTAATACCGAATGCGGACCAGAATGAATTTCGTATTTTAAAATTATCGAAATTTTTCTTCAGTTTAGCTTATAAACAGGTTTGTATCGATTTCGGCGATAACCGCAGAATTTACCGTAACACTCAAATGGAAACCCCCCCAACCCCCCCAACCCCCGATCGATTAGCCAAACAACATAATTCCAGTTTACGAACAAAACCGTTACACCGGAAATACATTTTTAATGTTTGAAAAATCGCTTCGCACTGCACGCACAAGCCGTATGCAAAACAACGTCATCGGTTCAAATCGATTCCCCTCGGCGTTATGCCCGGTCGCGATCGGCTAGCTGCTGACGCGGTTTATCGTGTGATTCGGCCGTTGTTGACCGTCGGGCGATTTTTTTTTTTTTTAATTTCAGTACTTTCGGGGTCACGTCGGTAAAACCGAAACGTTCGTCGTCGTGTGGAAGGGACCGCGTTCTCGATAGGCGCCGGGGCCCGGGTTCGGCGGTGCGTTTTGCGCGGAGCGACGCCTCCTCAACGCTGATAGAGCGGCGGTCCGCGCGTCGTCGCCCGATCGTCTGGACGAACGCGACGCGAAACGCGGTCTGTTCATCGGTCCGCCCGGGCCAGGGGGTCTCGGTCAACCGCGGGAATTCACGGGTACGCGCAAAACGGGACGAAACGTGTCTGCGCGGTTAATAATACGCTCGCGTTCGCCACGCGCGCTCGCGCCGTTTTCGCACGTCGTTCGCGCGTGGATGACGACCGGCGAAGACTAACGTCAACGCGCGCATACACGCGAATAATCACGCGCGCGTGCGCCTGTTCTTCCGAACGCGCGGTTTCCGTTTTATTTTTCTTCACCTCGCGCTCATCCCGACCGTTCGGGATTCGCTGTCAACCGCCCCCCCGTGCCGTTCTCAACAGCGTCCAACCGCCCCTAATTCCGATCGTCCGCTCCGCCGTTCGTCCGTATTGCGTTTATTCGCATTGCGGTTCTTACCGCTTTGCGACTTGCGCATTGAAATACCGCCCGCAGGACATACCCGCTACGTTACGGAGCTCTGGTTTGGACGCGCGTTTGTTCCGTTAAACGCAGGCACCGTTCGTGCGAACGAATACGAATAGGTTTGCGCGGGTAAATTATATTTCTGCGTGATATACCGTACAGCGCGAATTGAAAAAAATCAAACCGCGCGCAACAAAAATAATAAATTACGCACCGGCACCGAAATATTCCGCGTTTTGTAATTTATTCGATTGCCGCGGCGCGGGCGCCCGTTCGTATACGCGCAATAACTAAATACGCGCATTTTTTTTTTTTACGTTTTTCGGTCAGGTCCGGTGTTTAGTTCGCAACGTCAATCACGACGAGCGACTCGTAACAAACAACTGTTAAAATGTTATTGGTTAGTGGTAGTAGGACCCGCATCAGCGTTTTTCTAACAACCGCGGATGATTTCAGCGATGAAAAAATGATGATTGCGTATACGCTATTACCATATCTAAATAAACAGAAGACGAAGAAGATCTCGCGTTCGTCCGTAAATCGGAAGACATTTTTCAGTAAAGTCGCATAGACGTGGGATGTTTCCCTACTCGTTCTACCAACTTTACGCCGGCCGTTTGTTCGTTCGTCTTATTTGTTTTTCTCAATAGAAGAAAATCAGAAAAATAATATTTTAAAAATTCGCACGATTCGACGCGACTGTTGGAAGTGACTCGATAGCCGAATCACTCGGGACCGATCACTGACAACGCGTTGGTAACCAATTCTGACACGGAGTCATTTGTATTTTCGGTGCGAGTTCATTCGATTATTCGTGTTGATTTACGGGTTGTCTCGGTGATACGCAAGAAAATTAAAAACACGTCCTAGGATGATAATAACGGGCGCAGCCAGTGTTCTGGGTAATTTAATGTTTAATCTGTTAGCGACGGTTAACCATCGGTTACGGATAACGAAGTTCGGTTGATAGCGGTGCTATGTCTACGATGTGTATGTCATATTACGGTAAAACAATTGAATAGGCGTTATATTTAATATCCCGGCTTTCCCGTGTGTTTTCCCGGTTTTCCGCGTTCGCTGGAAAAACTCTTTAGAAAATCGAAAAACCGCCTGCTCAAAGTGCCTCCCCGAACCCATTTCCGTTCGGAAAATGCGCAACAGTAAGAACCGGAGCGAGATCTCCGGTAGAAATGAAAAAATCAATAAACATCTTTGTAGAACAAAAGGCTTCTTCGCTTCATTCGCGGTCTAAAAAACATGATAAATCGAAGCGAACGGATAACAAATAACTACCCGTTTCCGGAAACACTCTGCTATCGCTAGATAACAGTGCAATAACGGAAACGATGATTACCATAATAACAACAGTCGTGTTGTCCGTGGCCGCCGAAATCGACATCCACGGTGACCTCCACGACGAATAAACGAAAATAACAAATCAAACGAATTCGTATGCGAAAATGCCTAGAAACGTAACTGTCGCAATTTTCGTACGGGAATCTCTGATTTTTTTTTTTTTTTTTTTTTAGGAAACAAAATACAGCCGATTCGCGATACACTCGCTGATAACGTAGCTCCCCGTAGTCGGTAAAATCCGGTCGAGCAGATGTTGAGCTTGCCGTACCACCGCGAACGTGCGTACACGTATTTTCTCTTGATAATATCGGCCGTACAGATGGGAGGCGATCCGCGCGTAATAGGACCGCAATAGCCGTCACGGAGATGCGCACGACGGACGGCGGTACGGTCGCCGCACAGAAACACCTGCAGGTCACTCGTTACCACTTAACCCGAACGGGTCCACGCGGGGGAGGGGAGGGGGGATGTGTGTGTGTGTTGACCAATTATTGCCATTAGCGGCTGTTTTTTTTGGCATTTAGTACGACAGTCGCCCCCCAACCAAACGTACCGGTTATTCTAACCGTATAAAATAGCCCGTGTACCTTATAATAGCACGGAGATGAAGAATTGTATGGAAATCGTGCATGATAAAATTGACCGTAATATTTATACGATTTTTTTTTTTATAAACAAATCGAATTTTCGCATTTTCGCAATTGCGCGTGTCATCGCTATCGTACCTTCACTGGTATCAACGGGATTAAGCTCGATCAAAAAAAAACATCTAAACGATACACCTTTATCGTCAGTAGCGGATTTTCAACATTTTTCCGTGAGGGGTCCTGAAAAATCATATTTATTTAAAAAGGTACCCTGTTTTAATAGATGACTCTTTTTTTGTTCGACATTTTATTGATACAATATCAGCGTCTGGGGGGGGGGGGTAAAGATCCGCTGAACCTCCTCCGTAAATCCGCCGCCGTCTATCATAACCAAACCAAAACCTTACCTATATTTGTAATGATATGCTATTTAAGCTATCATACATTATGTAAAATAAAATATTATAAGTCAAACAATTAACAACGGAAATTATAGTTAAACATTTACATCCGATGCCATTCTTTTTTCTTATCAAATAACATATATTTTAGTGCGATATTTACTCATCGTAAGGAGATAATACTTAAGCTATCATATATAATTAAAATAAATTATATAGTCAATATTGTAAAATAATTATATTAATTTGTAGCCATTAATTATTAGATTAAGTTGTTAGTATTAACCAAATTAAGATAATACATTTACACACGCACACACATACAGATCTCCAGTTATAAGGAGGCCGGACACTTCTAATCACTCTCAGTGTATGTATTGTTCCCGTTGCTTTTGGACAGATGATCACAAGCGAGTGTAAAAGACTACGCAGAGATTCTTACAAAAGCACGGGAACCTAGAACAGTGTTTTATATTTTAAAAAATAATTAATAAAAAAGATACAGTTGTTATATTAAAAATCTTTTTATTTACTACGATCACCTATATCAAATTCAACAGATCAATTTGCCGCCTGAAGAAGAAAGGTAAACAAATTTATAATTAATTTATACGTGTGAATCGAATTTTACATAACTAGGCACCTCCCGCCTTATTTTTGTATTACTACATATTTACAATCATATCTCATAACTTTTATGCGATTTAAACTTTAAAGTTCGAAATTATTACGTTACTCAATCCGTTTTAATGTGCTTGACTTCGGGGCGCTATTGCGTATTTTACTATAGAAACAAAATAGCCCCGGCCATTTCCTGACCCTATTGGCGCGCGCCTGATTATTAATATAATAGTGTAACAGTTGATAATATATTTTAGGTAGGTACTTGCCGTATGACAGGTACATTTTAGTAGTGATATCGCTGACGATTTTATTGAACGCCTACATTTTTAATAATATTGATTTCACGACGTTTTCACGGTTTTCATAATGTGCGAGATTTTTCACGTTGCTTAGATTTTGAGTTCAGCGAAGAATGTATTGGTTTCATAAAGATGTTTATTTTTTTATTTTTTTTTTTTATGCGAATACTTTTCCCACCAGAAAGCCTACTCCGTTCATCAAGCATAGCACTTTTTCCGAATGGAAATGTTCTCCGGGTGGTACATTAGAGAATACATTTTTCGAAATTCTCATCGATATTCGAGATAACGAGTAAAACCCAGTGCTTTGAATTAGAAAAACGTGAAAGATTGAAAACAGGGTTGTCATCGGCAACCGTTTTATATTTATTTTTTGTTATTATTAAGTTACTAATATTTGAATCGTTTTTAAACAATCGTTGTTGTCACGGAAACGCGCATTGTTGTAATCATTTTACCATCACATGACATATTTGTATATACGGTTGACGAAACGACGCCGTTAACCGAACTCCGCTCAGAATCGTTTTCTTTTTGGTCAACAGCGGTTGATCGTTGCTTACACGGTGATGCATTGAGTTCCCGTCCGTGCAGCCCGTCTTCTCGACTTCACGCCTACAACCGCGGCTGCGAGACCGCGTGCGAAGTATATCCGCGTCTTTTTTTTTACCTTTTTTTCCCTTTTTTTTTTTTTTTTTTCGCCAAAGCACGTCGTACGCCAATTATCGATTAGCGCCGTTGAAAACGTATTGTTTCTGTTACGAAATCGCCGCGGCCACACACGCCCGTTTTCGGTTTTTTATTCCTTTGTCGGTACTCGCCCCTATACGGCGGGCGCTATACGTCCCGCGTGCCGGCGCTATAACCGCTCCGGGGCACATCCCGCGGGCGCGCTCAACGCGAACGCGGGGCGACGCGAACGGTAGGTACAAGAACACAAGAACAAGAACGAAAAATAGGCGAATTTTTTTTTAAAAAAAAAAATCAATAAATATTTTAATCGTAATAATTATTTTTACATATATATATATATATATTTATAGCGTTATAATATCCAATAGTAAACGTAATATTTATGTACACAATGTTTTTTTTTTTTTTTTTTTACATGAAATCGCGCCGACCGCCGATCCGCCGGTCGCATTACAATCGGTGCGCCGCGCAGAGCCGTGAATCTTAATGCGTGTTTTCGATTGTTTTTCCCCCGTCCCACAACCGGTTCTCTTTTTCGCGCGCCGCGAAAAACGCGAATTACGATCCGTTCCGCGGTCCTTTGCGAATCGAACGCGAATGCCCCGGGCCGGCCGTTGTTGTCGTTCGAGTGTTTACTCAATAACTCAATGAGCTCCGGACGCGAAACGTTTCGGAACGCGGCGTTTCCGACGGCTCCAACTGGTAATCCCGCGCGGTTTCGGCGGTTTCGCATATACTCGCGGGAATTTACGCGCGACGAAAAATCGTTTTTTTTTTTTTTTTTTTTTTTTT